CAGTAATTTAGGTTTACAATTAACCAAAAAGACGCAGCGTACTATATCAATGACTACAGTCAGCCATAGGTAAGAAATGTTTCATTTCTAAACGAATTAGAATTCAGATAGAGATACAGATCGGTCCACTAATTTCATTTATATGCACATCAACGGTAGTAAGAGGCTGATCTGCTCAACATAGTTTCTAAGCTCGGCCTGTCGCATTCAGTATGGAAATTGTTTAGTCTCTGATCTGCCAAATGTAAGCCGACCTCGCCGAGTAAACTTAAACTTTAAAGTTGGCCTGCAATTTGACGCTCACTTCAATGCTACAAACTTATTACACCGAGAGACTACTACTTTAAATTTGTACCGCATTGGTCTGCTTCTAAACAAATGGATATTTGTATATTTAGGGTAGAGCCCTCCATTTAAACATGTTTGGTTAAAAATAATGCCAGTTATATACCATAATATATACCATATACCAGTTATATACCATAATATACCGTATACCATGTCCTCAATAAAACTGGCATTATTTTTAACCAAACATGTTTAAATGAATATTTGGCTATACACGGCTATACGTTCATCGAAATTTATCATAATTTGAAGCAATTCAGCGTTGTAAACGCGGCAAAGCGAAGGATTAGTCCCATAATGATCGGATCTCCATAAGAACATTATGCCCAAAATTATGTACTACTTCAGTAGTACATAATTTTATTTTTTGTATTTTACGTCAGTAGTACATTATGTACTACTGACGGAAATATGAATAACCTCGTACCTAATCTTTTAGAAAGAAAAAGTAAATCGATTCGCCATCGAGTATAGAGCGATCGAGCTGAGTGTGGTGAAAATTTGATCTGGTGGAACTATTGAACTTAAGTCAAGTTTTTCGGTCTTCATTAAGCTGTTCATGCGTGTTTATCTATGCATATGATACAAAACCAGCAGAATTGCACTGCTCTGTACATGATTTTCATGACAATTCTACTCGTCACGACCTGATATAAAATATCCTTCAAGAACTGAAGCTCCGCATTTTTTTTTTCTCGGGAAGCAGCGTGATGGCGATTTTGTATACAGCTATATCTAAAATAGTAAAGAAGCAAGAATATACTATTTGCTTAACGGAGAAATTGATACAAGATAAAATGTTTGGACGTGCTATAAAGGTCCCTTGTGAAGATACCCATTTTATCTCTGACGTCTTGTCTCTTGTAAACTGTAAAGGTATAAAAAACTGCATAGGATTCGAGACCAAGAAACCAGGTCTCTTCTAATACGTAGCACTGGAGGTAAAAGAAATTTTATTTGGCTGTCTTATAGATCAATATTCCTTATTTCTATCACTTGAGTCTCAGAATTTTTTAGGCCTGTAGTTATTATGACGTCACATGCAATATGCAAAATGAAGAAGTCGCACAGATGGAAAACAAATATGCAAAGCTTTCAGGATTTTTTTATGTTTTCAGGACGAGTTTTACAGCTCACTGCCAGCAGGAGATTGCCATATGGCATCGTTTCCTGGACCCAGCACGCTGCCACTAAAACTTTACTCCGGCCGAACGGGGCGCATGTATAAAAGGAAGAACTACGTTTGACTTAGCTCAATGTTGTGTAACTTAACACTATATAGTCTAACTACTCTTCAGTAAAGAGGAAGAAAACACTTGCTTTGTTCAATATTTTTTAACTTTACACTAGTCAAACTATACTTCAGTAAAAAAGAAGAAAACGACTGACTAATAGCTAAAATTTAGGACCTTCACACCAGTCAAACTTTCACTCAGTAGAATTCAACGTAATTCTTACTTAATCTTGGATTGGAAGTTTCCGTGCAGCACGACACCTTCGTCCAAAGTCTCTCTAAATAAATGACAATGGCAGAGGTTTGGTTATTTTATTTGCCTTATTTTATGTACGGTAATAACGCATAGCATTTTTCCTGAGGTTCCAGAAACCAATCCTTAAAATTACTTTAATGTTGAAGTAATTAAGACTAGAGCAGTGGCTTCATGATAGAAAGACGTATCAGTTTAACATTAAATAATTTACAACACGACAAAATCTAATATTGTTCTTTACTGTATTATCACACATTATTTATCTATGATCATATAACATTAACTAGATTCAGTATAGACACTTGGAGTCCGAGATGCAATTTCTGAACGATGTGCTTAGTTAAAGGGAAACAGCAGGGGTGATGGAGGCGAACTACTTTCCATAGTGAAGAACTGCGAACTTTGCGGTGAATCATAAACTTTCATTCTTTCGGCGTCAAACTGTCTATTAAATCAAAATAATCTGTGTTATCTTCACTAGTGGCATTAGTTCAACCATTAAGCAAGTCAGACAGGCATTATACCCAAGTATAATCCCTATAAACAAAATAAATACAGGCAGTTTAGTCATTCTTATCTACGCCATAGGTACCAAGTAAGGACCAACAGAGCTTACCAGGTTATACCAGAGTATTTAATTCCACAGGGCATGAAGATGAGTCCTGCTAACCACAAGTCGTTCTTAAAGAGCTCCCAGGAGGTTACCAGGGAGTTTCCTCTTCAAAATTTGCAATTTAGAAAGATTTTACTAATGAAAATACACCATAACTTCACCCACCCAAAACTCTAGACACGGATTTTCTAATTATTTGGTCACTATGTTTCAGCACAGGCACAATATGAACAGTTTCTCATTGCAAGCCATAAAGGTTATAGTTGGGCACGGACCTGGAGCTCGCGAGAGACACAACCTCACCACATCACCGCCAGGGTCACTCTGATATGCCGCGGTCTTCGGGGGGACGGATACGGGACGTCAACAATAGAACTGTGACCCTTCAACTTGGCGACCTCACGAGCAGCATGACACAAAAGTTTAGCTTATCACTATCAATTATTTTAATTTAGTTTAGTTTAGTTCAGCTTTGTTTAGTGTGATTAACTATTATTTAGTTCATAGTGGGATATACACAAAAGTGATAGTCATCCATTACAAATTAGTTTCCTTTGTTTACATGAAACGCTTTTCGATGGAAACTAATAATGGCTAATAGAGCGTCTACCTCATTAAGTTGGTTTAGATTGCCTGAATCGAAACGGCCTCGCACCCCCTGTGCTTTTTAAGACGGCCGCCATACTCCTTAATCGGCTTAAAGAGTATGAAGACGATCATCGTACCTCTTAAACCAGCTCAGAGGCGGCCATTGCACCTCTTAAACCGCTTAAAGACAGCCATCTTACCTCTTAAACCGCTTAAAGACAACCGTCATACCTCTTAAACAGCTTCAAGACAGCCATCGTACCCCTTAAAACACTCAAAGACAGCCGTCGAACATCTTAAACCGCTAAAAGACAGCCATCGTACCCCTTAAACCGCTTAAAGACAATTGTCGCACCCCTTAAACAGCTTCAAGACAGCCTCGTACCCCTTAAAACGCCTACAGATGGCCGTCTTACTCCTTAATCCGCTTAAACACGGCCATTGATCCGCTTAACAATGTAGGAGGGGTTAGTTGCGGGAGCGAACGCTAGAGTACAATTATATGACAAACCGTATTTCCGTCGGTATGGCGTTAGTAGTAGTAGTTAGTTGTGTTGGTAACAATGCAAGTATTCTGCACCAATAGAAAATATCAATTGAGATGCAGCATAATAAAAACCCTGAGGAAATGACCTGTGACTATACTAACTTGTCTCTCTTTCCACGCAATAATGACAGACTGCTAAGACTGTGTCAGAAATTTGAATTAAAATGATAACAGCAATTTAATACTAAGGTTTCAATAATAGTTCAGGTGTGTAATTACGCTGCAAGTGAAATTTTTTCGTACGCGAAGTATCGAAATCAAATCTGGAAATAATTCTCTAGCAAGCCTTTGTTAGGGATAAAACATCAATTCATCAAAGGTATAGTGAAATCGCATTTACAAAGCATTTAAACTTTAATGTAATATTTATTAAACTGATATATAGCCTTAAAGTTCAAATTTAAAATCAAGTACATCAGGACATTCTTCTGGACTCTCGATGTTGTTTCAGACCGATGAAATTGACCGTATACTAGTGTTATTTCCTTAAAAATATGTGTGCTTGTCGAATACTTATGCATAGTTATAAATATAAGATTATGACTCGTGATATTGCACGTTTTTTGTGACTTTATAGTCTTTTCAGTGTGAAATCATCGTAAAGCAACTAATTTTTCTTGATGCATTTTGCATAGGCCATTTCCCTCTTATTAAAGTAGTAATACCTCAAAATAGAAGAAAACTTCTCGAGTTCGTTTTCTCTCTATTTTTTTCCAGGTGAAACCATAATATAAGCGTTTGTGATCCTGTTGTTTGAACTTTCACTTTGGTGCTTCATATATAATACTGGGCTTAGTGGTTGTTTCACTTCTCCAAATTAGGATTCAGATTTATTTCTAACACGAAAACAATGTTCAAGTCTTTTCTAAAAGAAGAGCATAATAAAAATTTTTATTGATAATTCACATCCAACGATAATTAAACGTTACGCGATAACCGCGGGGCACGGGCTGAGGTTGATTAATTAATGGTAAGGATGTTAATAAAGAAAATGAATGACGTTAGGTAATTTATTTATACAGCCTCTCTCGATTACACATCTACACTCGTTTCATCAATCGCTCTACTACTTATTCCAAAGCTGCGGCAGGTCGATCTATTCGCGATCTTTCTCTTTTTCGTGAATAATTAACATATTTGATTTGAATAACATATTTTTCGTGAATAAATAACATATTTGATTTGAATAACATATTTTTCGTGAATAAATAACATATTCATTTGATTTATAAATTTACTCACATTCCACCAGCAGTCAGAAGATAACAAAGAAAGGAATGGTCGCAGGTGGGACCGATTGCCAATAGATCGATCTATTGTAAATATTGTAGTAGATAAATATTTATCAAATCTACAGCAAATATTTAACGGGAACGTCTTGCAGAACTCGCCTCTGTAGGGCAACAATTGTACCCAAACTCAAACAAATAAATGGAATACATTTTCCTAATATCGACACTTTTTTGAGTGTACTGGTGATAAGTATTTTCCTGTTCAAACTCAAACAAATGAATGGAATACATTGTCCTAATATCGACAATTTTTGAGTGTAGTGGTGATAAATATTTTCCTGGCCAAATTGGGCTAGGTTGACCAATAAGGGCAGAAAGTGTGTCCCTGTGTGGAAAATGTCACACTGATTTATTTTTGCTAAACCCGCCGTCCTGAAAACATATATTCATATCAAGTTTTAAAATCGTTCATGTTCAGTAAACTGAGATACGCGTCTGTGACCTCAAGTTATTTGATTACAATTATAAATTTTCTGATCTTCATGTTGACACCTGAAAGTTATTATCAGATAAACTTACGACATCGTACTAACTTATGATTATCTTACAACGCCTTCAACAATGTTGTTGGTTTTTGCATTCAAAAAGAACAATTTGCATTTACCACCAAATTTTTTTTCATAAAGATTAGAAATCCTGAATATTACATTTTCTACACGATATCGAAAAGAATTCATTGAAAAACATTATCTTCTGATAGGCTCACGAATTGTGTATTCAATTGCGGTGCAGGAATGTATATTTTACTTACTGAAAGTAATTCATGATAAACGAAAGGGATGAAATTTTCTCTGCTAAATAACTTACATTAACACGTTATTAATAAAGTAATTATGAAATCGAGGTTCATGCTAAACGCAAAAATACAATGAGTCAGAGAAGTGAATTCCACTTATACAAATGAATAAATTAGTCAGTATCGTGAATTCCATCCACAAATTAATAAATAAATGGAGTAATTTAAAGCTTCAGGCTATTTTTTTAGCTCTGAAATTTAATATCGACATAACGAGAAATAACCGCGGGTGATACAAGGAAACCAACTTTGTAATTCCCTTGAAAATAGATTTAATTTTCATTTTTTCATAGAATTAAATTTTATATAATTCTTAACTTAAAAAAATTCCAGAACTGCTATTAGCGTGGCTGCGGTTCTTCCGAGATAAATGTGAATTCGCCCAAAGGAAACACATAAAATTAATGGAACCAGTATTTTAAATTATTCTTCATAAATTAGATGAGTAAAACTAAACAAAAACATCCTAAAAATGAAGTCGATTTGTCATCTTAGGATAAAATGGCCCTTTACGGAAAAGTCGAATTTGACATCTGAAATCTTCCATCGAACATGTCGAATTGAGAAACATCTCTCACCCAACTTCAAAATATTCATAATTAATTTTGAGGTGCGAAAAATGTAATATGATATCGAGAAGATACGCGATAAACAGCGCAGCATGACGATTGAAATTTTTCGAGGAAACGTGCAAGATGATGTTGAAGAGATGTTTTGAAAAAACATGCAACATGTTGATTAATAGTGCCTGAGAAAATAATTCAATCATTTTTACCAAAGTCAAGAGATGGATGTAGTAGGAAGATGTTCCAAGTATCCATAATGTTTTGTCGCGCTCGGTCAAGAACAAGTGCCTCAATGAATGAATAATATTATCTAAGTTTACATTACCGTTCTTTTATTGCTTAGGTTCATGGGCATGTTTGCAGACAACGGTGCAGTCATTAAAAGTTTATAACCAAAATTAGGGTTAATGATGCATAAACGAAACTCGGAAAATAAACGATAAAATTAGATGCCTAATTAAGTGAACCCAATGATCGATGGAAGCATCAAGCACCGAAAACAAAACTAAGTCCACAAATTATTTCATGAAAAAAATCAGTGGAGAAACTTTCAGAGTGAAAATATTTCGACCATCGACTCATATCAATAAAATATTACAGGATAAGATTTCTAAAATCACAAGCCTAATTTCCTCGAGTAAAATTTCAAAATATTTCTGCTCACATCGTTAGCCTAATTAAAATTAAAGCATTCTGTAAAAAGAATCAAGCGCCCCCGTTTACCCCCACACCATGCACATCGGTAGTCCAGTGTCTGGTGACGGTCGGAAGGAGTGGTTGGCAGGACAGGGACCTTGCTGGAAGTGTTGGTAGCACTGCTTGGTTTCGGGCCAATAGTGACTTTGCAGGTTCTCTGAGCACGAACATTGCATAGTACCATTATTGGGACCACGCACGACAAGTTGGCCCTCTGGGCATGGGCCACGAGTCATTTGTTCATGACAAGTGTCGGTTTCTGGGTCCAAGACGTGCGAGGTGAAGCAGTTGCACTCGGTGCGGTGAGAGGTCTTGTTGTAACCAAAGTATTTCCCTATCTTGCATGGACCTATCGAGTGTTGTTCGTAGCACTGACCATCCTCTTCAAAGTAGTACGGCTGCCAGTCCGAGCGACAATCACATCCAGCTTCTCCGGTATTGGAGTCTAAGTAGAAGAGACGTCCTTTAGGACAGGGACCTCGAGAATATTGCCTGTAGCAGCGCTGATCAGGAGCCCAGAAGAAATAGTTGTCATACCGCGAGCAGTGCTCCTTAGTTTGGCAGACAGCCACCCCAGGTTGTGAAAACACCAGCCATTTACCGAGCGGACACGGGCCCTGGGAATAAGGTTCATAGCAATGACCATCAGCTGTGGTTACGTTGCCAGGTAGGCACTTGCACTCGGTCTTTAGTGTGTCCAGGTTCATGAGGTAGCAGTTGATGGTACCAGTCTTGCAGGCGCTTGGGTCACACGGTCCAGCTGAGTTCAAACGATAGCAAGTACCATCTTCTTCAAGCATGTGACCATCGCGACAGAAACAACTGAAATTGAAAATTGAAATTGTACTGAAGAGAATACAAGCTGGACAGCAAAGCCACCAACAACAAAAAAAAAACTTATGAAAAATGAAGTGCCAATGTACAAGCTGAAGGGAAAATTCCCCGTAAATACAGGCTAGAGGGAAAAGGCACTGACAAAATACAAAATTAAGAGAAAATATATAATAAATGCAAGTTAATGGAAAATATATTTACAAATGGCTACCTCGGTCTCATGGTAGCGTAGTCGAACTTGAGGATATGACCGGGATTGCAAGGCCCTTGTTCGTACAGCGGATAGCATTGTTTGGACTCAGGGTGGTAGAACATCTTCAGGTCGCTCGAGCATGAGCATATGCCACGACCTGTTAAGTAAATATGTATTAATAAATACTAATAATTAAATAATAAAATAAATATATACGAGCATATGCCACGACCTGTACAATAAATATGTATTTAAACAAGTTTACCATTGGAATCTTTCATAAAGAGTTCGCCATCTTTACACGGTCCTTTGGAGTACTCCTGGTAGCAGGAACCGTTACTCCAGCGGGTCCATAGTCCCGGACATCTGTAATACCGGACACGAACTTGAGATAACCATGACATAATTCATGGTAGTGGTATTAGTATACATTATTCATATTAGTATTGTATTCACATTCATTAGTATTCATCAGCAAATCATCCATATTATTTGCCACATTTGAACTTGCAAGGATATAATTTTTCAGCAATGATTGAACGCGTTTATAATGATTGAAAGTATCTGCCAAATTTGAACGTTTCTTGCACTCAGCCCCCACACCTACACCTGTCTCTTATACACATCTAGATGTGTATAAGAGACAGAATTACAAGAAGGAACCATCCAATCATTGCAGTTCTTTGAAAAACACGTAATATATCCCAGAGGTACAATGATAATTTCATCAAATATTTAACTGCAGGTTTAGTTAGCCAAGAGCACTGTTAGAAAAAACGGTGAAAAAACGGTCCCACTGGCGTTCTAGTGGCCGGTCGCCCCGTGAAAATAAACTGATTCGCCGTTTTTATAAGATGTTTTACGGATTTCTAGTGTTAAATTAGAATAAAAACGGCGACAAGGTTTTTCTTTTCACGTGCCGACCGGCCACTAAAACGCCAGTAATACCGTTAACGGTAATTTTTCTAACAGTGAGCGCTCGACGACTTATAAATGCAATGTAGATGTGATACAGTTGACCAATAATGACTTGTGTCGTGAATTAAAAGGTTACAAATTTATTCTATATAAGATACATATATACTCGTAAATTATGAGTGTATATTGAAGTATCAAAATAGCGTTCATCCGAAATCAGGATTTAAGTGGTAATGCTTAGCATCACTAAAAGTTTTAAAACTTGAATAGTAGGTATATGTGTAGAGGTATTCAATGCTGTCGTTTACTGGTTATCTCATAGTAACCGGCCATTATTGTTATAAAATTAAAAATACGATCATTAACCGTAACAAGAGATCAGTAATTTAGGTTTACAATTAAACAAAAAAGACATAAGGTCTGATACCGCAGCAAATTTTTAAACACACACTGGATGAATTCTTTTTGTGCCACAATTAAAAGCATGGTAAATACTGATTATTTTAACACGACACAAATTCTTGACATTTCATAATTATCAAAATTAAAATTTAATATCCATGTACTAGTTGAACGAAAAAGATGGCTGACCATAAAAGTTTGCTATGTTGCGTAAAGTAATATTTACCAATAACTAGTTTTAATTGTGAATGCTTATTATTTATTATATATTATATTATATTATTTACATAAGTTTGCATCACCCTACTCATTATTATAGCTTGCGTTACTGCCTAATAAGCACTAAATCATAATGATGAGGAGGCCTCCGGAATTGCTTTATATTGCCATTGCTCAATACGCAAACGCAAATAACAAAGATTGGCATTAGGCGGTCAATATTCATCCACACCCATCCAGGCAATAGTTTTGCGCTGCATTAATAAAAATAATACTAATAATAATAAAAATAATACTAATAATAATAATAATAAAAATAATAATAATAATAATAATAATTTCCCGCATGACGAGGTATAGTTTATCTGCACAAAGTGCAGGCTTGTAAAAACCAATAAATATCACCATAAATGTATTAGCATCAGCCATAATGTCTGAACTGTTCATTGCTCGATCAATTTTATCGCATAGGCTGGAATAGCTTCATGAATATGAGAAGGTTCCTGAGAGCATGGCGGCGTTGTGTGACGAAAAAATTGAATTTTTTGAAGGCTTATGTGTGGATATTGAAAATATTTAGATTTCTTTTAAAATGAATTTCAAAGCAAGAGGAGCGTTCATGCTTTTTGTAAATTGCATATATGTCATTACAAGATATAATTACATTCGCGCCAAAGTGAAACTAAATCAGGCCAAATTTCCTAATTATTTTTAATGTTGAACATATAACTAGTATGCTTCAATGAAGATTTAAATTATAATGGTAGGAAACCGCAGTTGTAGATTAAGAACAAGAATATTAGAATATTCAAGGGCGGACAGGAAAATTTTTGTCGTGAAAACAGGAACCTTTGAGATTCGAAACCCAGAATTGACATTCAAATNGTAAGAGGCTGATCTGCTCAACATAGTTTCTAAGCTCGGCCTGTCGCATTCAGTATGGAAATTGTTTAGTCTCTGATCTGCCAAATGTAAGCCGACCTCGCCGAGTAAACTTAAACTTTAAAGTTGGCCTGCAATTTGACGCTCACTTCAATGCTACAAACTTATTACACCGAGAGACTACTACTTTAAATTGTACCGTATCGGTCTGCTCCTTTACAAATGGATACTTGGCTATACATGACTATACGTTCATCGAAATTTATCATAATTTGAAAGCAACTCAGCGTTGTAAACTCGGCAGAGCGAAGGCTTAGTCCCATAATGATCGGATCTCCATAAGAACATTATGCCGAAAATCAAAACTTCGAACTCTGGAGCCATACTTTCAAAACTCGCTAAGTGAACGTAAGTACTTACGCTCTATTGTCTTGTCTATGATTGGTGGATTTTGCTTGAAAGGCCGTCAATGATTAGCTGATGAACTTACGATCCCTTAACTTTTTTTGAAAGTATAGGCCCTGTACTACTGAGGCAAACATGGATAACCTCGTACCTTATCTTTTAGAAAGAAAAAGTAAGTCGCTTCGTCATCGAGTAGAGCGATCGAGCTGAGTCTGGTGCAAATTTGATCTGGTGAAACTATTGGTCTTAATTCAAGTTAATCGGTCTTCATTATGCTGTTCATGCGTGTATTTATGCATATTATGCAAAACTAGCAGAGTTGCTATGCTCTGTACATGATTTTCATGACAATTCTATTCGTCACGACCCGATATAAAATATCCCTTCAATAACTTATACCTATTTGTTTCGGGAAGCAGCATTACAGCGATTTTGTATGCAGCGATATCTAAAATAGTAAAAAATATAGCTCAGTACTCACTGCAGTGAGTGACAGAGAGCACATTTTCTCGTTGACGACACCATGAAGTCACGGACAGACAGACGGACATGGCGAGCGCAATAGTGCATTTTTTCATAAATGAGAAAATTCGCTAAAAAGCAAGAATCTATTTGCTTAACAGAGAAATTGATAAAAATAGAATTTTTGGACGTCCTGTAAAGGTCCCTTGTGAAGATACCGGTACCCATTTTATCTTTGACGTCTTGTATCTTTTAAACTGTAAAGGTATTAAAAACTGCATATATAGGAATCGAGACTAGGAATCCAGGTCTTCTACACGTAGCACTGGAGGTAAAAGAAATTTTATTTGACTGTCTTATAGATCAATATTCCTCATTTCTATCACTTGTTACTCAGAATTTTTTAGGCCTGTAGTTATTATGACGTTATATGCAATATGCAAAATGAAGAGGTCGCACAGATGGAAAACAAAGATGCAAAGCTTTCAGGATTTTTTTACGTTTTCAGGACGAGTTTTACAGCTCACTGCCAGCAGGAGATTGCCATATGGCATCGTTTCCTGGACCCAGCACGCTGCCACTAAAACTTTACTCCTGCCGAACGGGGCGCATGTATAAAAGGAAGAACTACGTTTGACTTAGCTCAATGTTGTGTAACTTAACACTATATAGTCTAACTACTCTTCAGTAAAGAGGAAGAAAACACTTGCTTTGTTCAATATTTTTTAACTTTACACTAGTCAAACTATACTTCAGTAAAAAAGAAGAAAACGACTGACTAATAGCTAAAATTTAGGACCTTCACACCAGTCAAACTTTCACTCAGTAGAATTCAACGTAATTCTTACTTAATCTTGGATTGGACGTTTCCGTGCAGCACGACACCTTCGTCCAAAGTCTCTCTAAATAAATGACAATGGCAGAGGTTTGGTTATTTTATTTGCCTTATTTTATGTACGGTAATAACGCATAGCATTTTTCCTGAGGTTCCAGAAACCAATCCTTAAAATTACTTTAATGTTGAAGTAATTAAGACTAGAGCAGTGGCTTCATGATAGAAAGACGTATCAGTTTAACATTAAATAATTTNTTAGGTTAGGTTACGTTAGGAGTAGCTGTTGCGGTAGGGCCTGTTGCGCCCCGGCCATTTGTGCTCCGGCCAGTTGTGCTCCGGCCTGTATGCGCTCCGGCCTATGACTGAACGGCGCTGTTGTGGTGGGCGCTCTGTGTCAAAAGCCGTGAAGATGCCCGGCTGCGTTACGCTCGGGAAGGTATATGAATCGCACGGTGGACTTGGGCTATGCTGACCTCTAGCTATCCACCCCGTTAGGCAAACATAACCCTTAATCCGCTTAAACACAGCCATTGGTCCGCGGCGTTAGTTGTCCGGGAGCGAACACAGTAGTAAAATTATATGACAAACCGTATTTCCGTCAGTATGGTGTTAGTAGTAGTAGGTTATTGTATTAGTAACAATGCAAGTATTCTGCATCAATATACAATATCAATTGAGATGCAGCATAATAAAAACCCTAAGGAAATGCCCTGTGACTAACTAACTTGTCTCTCTTATCACATAATGACAGACTGGTAAGAGTGTGTCAGAAATTTGAATTGAAATGATAAAAGCAATTTAAAAATAAGGCTTCAATAATAATTCAAGTGTGTTTAGGCTGAAGGTGCAGTTTTTTCGTACTCGAAGTATCGAAATCAAATCTGGAAATAATTCTCTACGAAGCCTTTGTGAGGGATAAAACATCGATGCATCAAAGGTATAGTGAAGTCGCATTTACAAAGCATTCAAACTTCAATGTAATATTCATTAAACTGATATATAACCTTAAAGTTCAAATTTAAAGTCTAGTACATCTGAATCTTCAGGAATCTCGATGTTGTTTCAGGCCGATGAAATTGGCCATATACTA